CTCCAAGTTCCATCTTATTCTAACCACTTGTTTGCATGTAACTAACATTTTTCTATATCATGTTGGTTTTTTCTATTTAATGCTCAGGAGCCCATGTATAGGGGACAGTTAGGTTTAGGGCGTCAGGTCTGGTAGGTTTAAAAAGGGCTTGACACTGTAGAGCTCATGTGGGAAATGGTACCACAAAAAGAGATGCTGCCTTCAGACTGGTCGTTTGCTCCCAGGAGCACGTTGATTTAGTCACTATTTTACACTATTCATTGCTTAAATCACAATTACAGCAGATATGATAATAACAAGTTGTGTTTTTATGTGTATTGTTTCCTCACGGGTGAACATATATTTCTTCTGTAAAATAGGGATATATAACATCTCATGTACTTCCTTGAGCTACTATGAGAATTACGATGATGACCACTCCTGACGCAGTTTAGCTAATCATTCCTGTCCTCTTACTAGAACTTGATCAAGCTGTTATTTCACAGCAGAGATGATGGCAAAAGAAGTGGGAGGCCTGGAGGTGAAGTATCCAGCTCGTGAGTGTAAGTGGGATCCACATGCTAATTTCCATGTCCTGTTCTACTTGCATTGTTACTAAAGAAGAGTGTATCTCCATTGTCAAGAATGATGCTATCATCATATTTATTAAAAGATTGAAAAGATGTCTAAATAAATTGCTCTATTTTAGAATTAAAAATTACACTGCATATTTCAAAACACCAGTTGTCCATGAATAAATAATTATTTAATATGCAAAAGGTTCTTTTAAAGATTTGAAAACCACTTAGAGGATTACATATGAAACTATATATGCTCACGCACAAAAGATATGAATGAGTTTTATCAAGGATGATACCTACGTTCACTGGCAGGTTATGTTGTGTTTCTAAAGTTGCTCTATCTTATGCATACATGTTCACTGGCCTTAGTTTCTTTTTCTGTTAAAATAATTTTATATTTATAGAAATTTGCAACAATACTGTATATAACTTTTTTTAGCTGAACCCTCAGAACAAGCTGACATGATGTCAACTTTAGCGTGTATTAACTACAATCAAACATTCTCCCACACAAGCTCTTTGAAACAAACTGCCATCTCTTCCAAAAACCACAATCAAATTCTAGCCATCATCTCAATAATATCCTGTGTAACAGAAAACACATGCGTATATTTATTATTTTTCTTTACTGCCTTTTTTTCTGAAAAGTGTTCTTAATCATTATTGATTTGCATGGCTTTGACACTTGGAAGGCTAGTTATTTTGAGTATGGTACCTCAATTGGCTTTGTCTTCTATTTCCTCATCCTACTTTCTGATGAGGCATTTTGGGCAGGAATGTCACAGCAGTTATTCTTCTTCCTCTGGCCTCTTTCTTGCAGTACCCGGGTTTAATTTTCTCATGACTGGTAATGTTAACTTTGATCCTTTAATAAAAGCGGGATTGTCTAGGTTCATCAACTGTAAATATCTTATTTTTCTTTTTGTAATTAATTTGTAAATTGGGGGTGGGTACTTTAAGACTATTTCTATTTGTATTTTTTTCTCGTCTAACTTTCATACACCTGCTTTATTAACCACTGATGGATTAATTTATACTACGATGTTTGTTACAGTTGAATTATGGATGTTTTGGACATGTCTTCTTTTTTAAAAAAAATGTATTTTCTTTCTGACATCATACCTTGTTCCAGGCTTATCTTGTGTCTTCTCTGTCCCACTCTTCCAGTCAGCAATTTTTATTAGGAGCCCTGGTTAACTTTAGTGAAGTCTGATACAAAATCTTGGATTGCGAGTAACTTCGTTTGTGAGTGTTCCACAACATGAGCAAACATTTCTAATCCATTTTAATATGGTAAACGAGTGATGTCTTGCAGTATGAGTAATTTGTTTCGGAACGAATTAGGCTCACAAATCAAGCTGTTACTGTATTTGTAAACCCAAATTGGGCCGCCAGGTCTGCTCTGCTTGTAGTGGATAGAGATAGATCAGAAATTGTTTTCTAAGTAACATTTCTGTCAAAAGGAAGCTCCTTGTTAAATATCTGAACACACACACACACACACACACACACACACACACCTCCCTCAGTCAAAAGCCCCCACTCTGGGCCATGGAAGTTCCTGTTCGTTCCACTCACTCTACTCAGGGTCTGACACCCCATGCCAGGCTGCTGTGCCCTACGCCACCCACACACAGATGCCCACCTAGCTCAGAAGTAGAGCTTATTTATCCTGATAAGAAGGAAGGAAGGAAGGAAAGAAGGAAGGAAAGAGGGGAGGGAAGAAGGGAAGGAAAGAAAGAATGAAAGAAAGAAAGGGAGGGAGGGAGGGAGGGAGAGAGGTTGGGAAGGAAGGGAAGATTTTTGAATAAAACAAAGTTAAAAAGGTAGCTTTTTCCTATATTTTCCACTGAATGTGTAGCACATGATTTCATGCTAAATTTTGACAGTTTTAATTTATTGCCCTTTGGAAGTAAAGTAATCCCTTACAGTGTAAATACCATATGCCAAATGAACTTGAGCTTTTACTAGTTCAAATAGGTGAGTGAAATATTGAGCTCTGATATTAACATATACTTTGAAATATTAAATTTAAATATGATATTTCTCTTTGCACTTTTAAAAAATCACATTACACTTTCAGTGTCAAATTCCACAGGAATGACTAAATTTTACAAAAATTAAATAAAGGGCTCTCATCAAAGGAATCATATCTATGAATGTTGATGTTTAAATGTATGTTTCCTATCTAAGTCTTGGTGTCTAACACATTTTTATATCTTCATAACAATTCAAGTTGAATCAACCTTTTTCTGAAACACATTTTAGCCTGTATTTGTCACAATTTTTTTTAATATTAGCAGAATTACAGGGTTCAAAAATATTTCCAGTAACATCCTAACTCTTAGTTTGAAGGCACATTTGCTATTTTTAAATTATGATTAGAGATAAACCCACTTATTTCATATCTTTATTAGAAAATTAGGTATCAAATATTTTATTTCTCTAATCATTTATTTTATTTTTTATTAAATGTGTTAGGGTGACATTGGTTAGTAAAATTATATAGGTTTCAAGTGCACATTTCTATAATACATCGTCTGTATATTGCATTGTGTGTTCACCACCCAGAGTCAGTTCTCCTTCCATCACCATATATTTGACCCCTTTACCCGCTTCTCCCCATCCCCCTCCCCCCTTACCCTCTGGTAACCACTAAAATGATGTCTGTGTCTACGATTTTTTGTTTGTTTTTCTTGTTCATTTGTTGCTTTCAGTTTTCTATCCCACATGAGAGTGAAATCATATGGTTCTCAACACTGTCTGTCTGACTTATTCATATATAATTTTCAATGAAAAGTACCACAATAAGTAATGCAAATTATGAAGTTACATGGGTATTAAATATTTCCAGAGAATTTAAAAAGAGAGATTGTTTAAATCTCACCAATATAATAGGTTCTATTTTTTCATATTTTTTCTAGAATTACAAACTCTTAAAAACTACCAAATTGAGTTTTGGTCATTTACCAAGTTTTACTTAAATAAATAGAAAACTGCATCATTTCTATAAAAATGTAATATATCATGGTGTATCAGTATTACTATAATGTTATATATATATATATGCATATATTTATTGTATAACTAATTATTATTTATAAAAAGTGCATACTAATAAGAAATTTGCTTAATTTTCTAAGGCTCAGAATTAATATGATTAGTGAATGCTTCTCATCAGTACAAATAATACCTCAATTTATTAGCAATGAATTTTGATGCAGCTTACATTTTATTTTCCTAGAATTTAATTTTCTTGTATAATGATTTATTCATATGCCTTCTTCCCATGGTTTTCATTGAGATTAATTTTCTAATGACTTCATAGCAGACAATAAATATTAGTTTATTTCCTTCTTCCCTTTGATCCTTACCTCTCTCCTTTCCCCCTTGTCATAACTGCCTCTCATCTTAATTTCTTCATTTTGGCTTTCTTCCCTAAAACCTTTTTATGCAATCCTTTTTCTCCCTTCCACTCCAGTGTAGTAAAACTTAAATTGGACAATAACAGGGTTTGAAGTTACATCATAATTCGAGTATTTTGAGCTTTGTAAACCTTCTAATATCTCTTTTGGACTTTACAACGAATGACATTTCTTTTGCAAATGTATATTTATAGCAGGAAAATATATTTTATAACTTAAGTGAAATTATGGTTATATAGAAGAACTTAGAAAATGTTTTAAAATAGTTTCATAAAGCTATTAATTCTATTAAAACAACATTTCAGTAATTTTCTAATATTTATCTACCTAGTCATAGAAAACAATAAATCGCATTTTTGCATCATCTGAGCTATGGAAAGTATAAAACATGCACATTTCAAAATATCTAACCAGTCTTGTAAAACATAATGGCAAATTCTATAAATATGTGTGTGTGTGTGTGTGTGTGTGTGTGTATTATATATACATATATACCTAAACATGTAGCTGGATTTGTAGTTAAAATGAAGTTTACACTACATGTTATTTCTATATTTTTAAGTTTCAGAGGATAACTAGACTGTTTTTATATATACAGAATGAAACATTTTTTCAAAAGTTATATAACCCTATATTTTCTAGTTTCTTTAACAATAAGCTTATTTCATTGACAACTTTAGAATTTTAAAGTATATTTATTTTAGTTCTTTTCTCTCAAGGTGTTTTTATTTTCAATTTTTGACAGTGTACTTACTATACTTGAAATTTAATTTGATTTCTTAAGACATATGTTGCCCCAATCTTTCATAGGTGGGAGAATTAGAATCAGGGTTTAAAATCAATTTTGATTAGCAAATAGATTCTAAGTCCTCATTATATGTCAGATACAACTATTCCAAAATTTTAAGCAGATCATTTTTTAGAATAATAACCTGAATCATGACTTACTGAAATGTAAAAACTATTTGCTTACATATATTGTATGAAATTTCAGAAATTATTGTGCTATACTCACCAGCCAAAGCAAGTATATATTCTTGAAATCTTGTCCCTATACGGTTAGTGGCTGTGCAATTATATCGTCCAAAGTCATTGTCAGATGTAGGTGCAATCTAAAATAATTATAATTGTAGAAGTTTACAATTTTATAGCAACATCACAAAAGTTTTAAAATAGACTCTCATATGACTACCATCTTCACACATGCTTTATAATTAAGAACTCCTTGACATAACCTTTTTTCCTATATGAAGTGAACATGACTAAGTGACATAAAGTTCTTTAAGATGTAATCCATAGAATTATACTATCCGAAGTAATAAGTGAATATAGTCTATCTATTATTTATGAAGTAGATAAATTCCATCATTTTGTTACATATATTGAATAGAAAAACCATTAGATATTTATATTCATAAAATTCAGAAAGTAGTACATAGTTGAAAAACATATATTCTGCAATCACCACAGATGTGAACTTGAGAAAAGAAAACTTTTACCAAAATACTGTTAACTGTTTGTTTAGCTCTAAGATCAGGAAAATTTAAAATTCAAGAAAGGTTCAAAATGTCAGATCGCTTCCTAATATGATATTATTTAACATAAAATATTCACAAAGGATGAAGATTCATTCCAAAAAAAAAAATCTTTACAGGACGGTGTTTTACATGAAAACACGGGCCTTGTGGACGAATCTCTGCAGACAGGCCCATTATCTTGACATCTAGTAACAGTATCTTGCCTCTGCTTCTGTTCATTTCCTGTCATTCTCTCTCAGTTTAGGTGGAACATAGCTGACCTCAATCTTGATACATTTGAAATCCATAATTAAGTTAACCTTCCGGGATTCTGTTGCTGAATGTTGGCACCAACCCTGCAATTCTAATGCACTGAAATTTGGAAGAACCAATTCAGAAAAGAGATTTGATGACAGTAATAGATAAGATTTTCAATCCCAGTAACTATCATTAAAAGAGAATATGCTTACAAGTCGCTGTTAATTTCAACTCCATCCCAAAAGGGGAAAATGATTTTGTGGTAATAGGAGGCTATTAACTAAAAGTGCAATTTTGAAGTCCATTGAAGATGTTAATTCTGAAAGAGTACAAAAAAAAAAGCTGTGCCATTCATTCTCTAGTCAGCTGCCCATCTACGAATAGATCATAAGTTTGAGGATTAGAAGTTTTAACAGCTCTTAAAAAAGTACTCCAAACTGATTAAACAGTCATTTTTCTTACATTTAGCTTTTAATAAACCAGGGTAATTTAACTCTAAAATACTTTTACTGATGAGAAAGGAATTTGTCAAAAATTTTTTTCTTATTCTGCAGGCATATCAGAAAGCTATTTGCATTTTCCATGAACGGATACAATGCAGAGACAGGATGGACATGACAAAGAATTGGCACCACTACATAGCTCATTGAGATTAATAAAGCAATTTAAATAAATCCGATTTCATTGGAACATTTTTTAAAAGGCTTGATTCATTTTTTTTCCACTTCCTGGGAGTTCAGCTATCAAAGATAAACCTTTACAATTCAATCTGAAATAAATAATTCCTTTATCATGTTGTATGATTAATACAAAAAATATCCATAGCAGCACAGATATTTTTTAAAACATAGATCTAGACATAACTTATCCAAATTATGTATGTGCCTTTCAGTATATTTGGTGTATTGCAGGAAAGCAATATGAAAGTAAAGACCGACAGTGGCGTTACACCCAATCCCAGCACAATGAAAAAAATATTGATAGATTTTTTTTTCAAAATACAAAATAATAAACATCAAAGTTATAAAGTATAAATTTTAAAGCATTTAAATGTGCAAATTAGTGCTGATATTTATCAGGGAAGTACTAGGGACATCTATTTATGACACACTTCTTCACATTTTAATAATACTTAAAATAATTCATGTTTATTTGAGATATTGGGTTTGGCAGAATATAATGTTAATGAAGAAGCTTGGTAGTCCTTTTCCTAAACCTTCAAAAACTTCATTTCCATGTTCTATGTATTCCATGAATGAGGGAATCTTTTAAAGAGTTAGTATCTTTATGTAGGACAAGGAACAATACAGATGATTCAAAGCAGAATATTATTCTAATCAACCTATAAGAAACTTCCTGCATCGATTTTTTCCCATATATTACACAGATGTTTATCATCTCAGGGGAGTTCTCAGGAATATTAAAATAAAAAAGTTTTGATGCCCTTTACAGATGTGACTATTATATTACACGAAGTAATAATAATGTGCTTTATCAAGCAACTATGTATGCTACTAATTAAAAATTAATCCTGCTTACTATTGTTTTTTTCTTTTTGCTGTTGATATTGTTATTTTGTTTTGTTTTGTCTTTAAGTTATGCTAGCCACATGTTTTATTATTTATTTAGGATTTAAATTTAAATTAAAAAATATTATGCATATTAAAAGTGTATGCTCACAGTCAATACTTTAACCAATAGATTACCTGGCTATGTGTAAAGTAAAGAAAAACTGCTTAGTTGTCATGTTGGGATGGGGAGGAATACTGTTTAGGTAGAAGACTGAGTAACATTGGAAACTTCTATAAATATATAAATGTCAGATTTATAACACGCCGCTTGACATTAACTATGGGGAATTACGAGCTATCCCACAAATTGAAAATTGGCAAGGTAAAGTAAAGCAGAAATTATAGATTAGCCTGTAATTTACACATGAACTTGTATAACTACCTATTATGGACTGACTTGTGTCCCCTCCAAAAGATTCATATACATTGAATCCCTGACCACCTAATGTGGCTGTGTTTGGAGACAGTCTTCAAGGAGGTGACTAAGGCTAGCTGATGTCATAGAGTGGGGCCTGATGTCCTTGTAAGAAGAGACACAGAGGGCAGGCCATATGAGTACACAGTGAGATGGCACAATCTGTAAACCAAGCAGAGAGGTTTCACCAGAAACCAGTCCTTATGGCACCGGGACCTTGGAGATCTAGCCTCCAGAAATGTATGTGGGAGGGGAAAGAAAAAGGTTTCTGTTGTTTAAGGCACCAAGTTTGGAGTAGTTTTTATGGCAGCTCGAGCACCCTAATACATTACCCAAAACTGCAATGAAATTCAACCTGTTTTTAAGTATGGTTAAATAGCTAAAAATGTAGGTTACATTTGCCCAAATGTCATTGTGATATACACCTCTATGTCAATTCTCCAACAGCTAGCTCTTCTAGTACAATTACAAAGAAACCAATTTAAATTGATTTATGGGCCCAGCACGCTTCCACTGCACAACTCTGCTATCTCCAATTTAAATTGATTTAGATAAAATGACTTTATTATCAGTCAGTTATCCAAATATTGGAGAAAGTAATGGCTAAACTCTTCTATCAACTAAACATTTTACTAAGTCCAATAACCAGGTAGAAGAGTTAGTGTGGCACAGATGAGAACACCTTTAAGTGAATACAGTACAGGTATCTGGTGTTATTCTAAAACACGCAATTTCAGGCTGGCCGAGTACTCGTTGGTTAAGATGGGCTTGGGAGAGAGAGCTCTGAGCAGCAGGGCTGCTGGTTCAGATCCCACATGGACCAGTGACACTGCCTTCTACAGCTAAGATGGTGAACAACAGCTCGACCTGGAGCTGGGCTGCCGTGAGTGGCTAGCAATGGCGTAGGTTGCAGTGGGGCTGCAGTGGGCTGCCATAAGCTACCGTGTGTGACCAGCAGCAGGCATGAGCGGCCGTCCAATGGCTGGCGACCGATCTGCCTCACCCGGGAAGAGCGCAATGATAATACCAACATGGGCCAGTGAAGCGACGTCCTCCACAGCTAGACTGAAGAACAAAAGGACAGCAACTTGTCTGTTCCACTTCCCTGATTCCCCCAACACTATTCCCTCCCCCAACTCCCCAATAAAATCTTAAAAAAATATATATATATATATATATCTTATAAACTTTGGGAATTGATATATACACCAACCACATAATCTGTGATTAATCAACGAAAGGTACTGTATTCAAATAGAATTTAAGGGGCAGGCACTTGGCGGTACAAAAGCAATTATTTGCCATCTTAACTTAAAAAAGAAAATGAAATGAGGCATTGAACAAGTAAATCTGGTTTACTTAGGACCTTGTGAATATATAGCCTGTGGATAACATTTATATATGCCAGGCTAAGGAGAAGAAAGGTGTAAACACAGAATGTAGGGCTAGTATCAACACTGAAATTGAAATTTGTCCTCAAGAGCAGACAAATCACTCATTCCATTTCTTTGTGTTTTTCCTGATATAATTGGTTTTATTTTCAAAAAGTAAATTCATAAAAAATAATGGCTTCTGTAATACACCCAGCTTTTCTATGTAAATAGTGAGATATTATTCATTAAAGAGGCATGATCCAAATGCATAACATTTCCTTTAAGTAAATAAACATGAAATATATACAATAGGTTTTGTATTTATTTTATAATATAAATATATTATATATTACATTCATATTTTAAGATATTAAACCATATTCTAAAATAGTAGGTAACTGCTAAAATAATGTTGATATGTACAGGACTTACCTCTAAAATCATCTTTCTCCCTGCACTATATGTCTTTAAATTAGTGGTGTTTTTAGCTGGTAAGACTAATTTCTCTCTTCTCCAATGGACTGATGCTGGTGGATTTGATTTCACATCACAGCTTATATTGATTGGATTTCCTTCCCAAGAGTAATAAATTGTTTGGTTTGACATGAACTTGGGAGCGTCTGTAAAGGAAAATGATATAACAATTATAGACATTTTCTTTATGACAAATAATCATTTAATAAGTATAAACAATATTATTTGACTAAAAGAAGCCACAGCAATTCTAATTTCTTGTATTTAATGTGTTATAAGAACTCATGACAATATATGTATTGGACTGTTTCATCAAATAATTTTAATATAAAAACATTCAAATCATAAAATGGTTTTAATATAAAAATATTCAAAGTTGGCCAATTATGAAAATATGAAACATTGATGCTCAGAGTTAAATTTGCATTTAATACTCTGACTAAAATATCCACCCAGCAAATTCATGGCTATCTACAAATGTGGAGTCTGTTTCTGAAACTACCCACACTG